ACCATCTCCTTGTCCGGCAACCGTCGCCAGTAGCCAATATGGCCTTATTCATTTATTTGGTGGCAAGAGCAGGGCCCCACGCTCGACCAGTTTCAGTGGCCGACGCCCCGTTCAGGTGGCCATTGGCACCGACCCGGGCACCGAGTTAAAAGTCGAGAGCCTGTATCCTAGTTATGTTATTGCGATTATTTGCCAAAACACATTACCCATAGTTAGAATACAAATAAATTATTTAATAAATGTAGCAACCGGGCCACCTGAAAATCCATTTGGCCACCTGAATCTCATACTCAAGTGGCCCGGCCGGCCACCTGAAAAAAAAGTTAAGGGCAAGCCCTGATATATATATATATATTGTCTATCTATCCTCTATTATCTATTATAGTCACATTAGGAACATAACTCTCTGTCAAAACAATCGTATCAATGTGTAAGTTTAGAGGGTAAAACATTAACATCTGTCAATATTTTTTTGATAACGAATAACAATGATTAAATTGAGTTTTAACGTTTTCGTCGTTGGCCTGACTGATCGTCTTTGTTTTCTTCGCCCACGTTCAGATGGAAGCCGGCATCAGCGACGAAGCGGACGTAGACGAGTCGAGTGAAGTCACTGCGCAGCTCGCGTCTAAGATCGCTAGCCTTGAGGTGATGGCAGACGATGCTCCGCCCGACGCATTCATCACGGATAGCGTCGAGGAGCAGTCGTCTGCAAAAGCGTCACGGCGGAAGACGAGGGATGCGAAGATGTCACGCGCAAAAACGGAGCTCGTGACGAGGTCGGCACGAGGAAAGCCCTCCCGCACCGAAATAGAGGATGCAGAAGCTGCGAAGCCGCTGCGTGCGAGGATGAAGGATGAGGAGGCTGCGGAGATGCTAGGAGTGAGTATGCAGGATGGCCACACTTTCGAGGGGAAGGCTACAGAGATGTCACCAACGAAGACAAATGCTGCAGAGATGTCACCGCTGAAGATGAAGGCTACAGAGGTGTCACTAACGAAGACAAAGGCTGCAGAGATGTCACCAGTGAAGTCGAAGACTGCAGATATGTCGCTAGCGAAAACAAAGGCTGCAGAGATGTCACTGCTGAAGAAAAAGGCTGCAGAGATGTCACCGCTGAAGATGAAAACTACAGAGGTGTCACCAACGAAGACAAAGGCTGCAGAGATGCCACCAGTGAAGCCGAAGACTGCAGATATGTCACCAGTGGAGTCGAAGACTGCAGAGATGTCACTAGCGAAAACAAAGGCTGCAGATATGTCACCAGTGGAGTCGAAGACTGCAGAGATGTCACCAGTGAGGTCGAAGACTACAGAGATGTCACCAGCGAAGACAAAGGCTGCAGAGATGCCACCAGTGAAGTCAAAGACTGCAGATATGTCGCCACTGAAGACAAAGGCTACAGAGATGTCACCAGCGAAGACAAAGGCTGCAGAGATGTCACCACTGAAGACTAAGGCTGCAGAGATGTCGAGATGCACCAACATCCAGAATGATTCCTCCAAGAGCGAGAGTAAACGAAAGAGCCGGGGACGTACAGGTGGGGAAGCCGGCGATAACGATTACGGTAAGCAGAACGGATTTGAAAACGAAGAGACGATCGCTTCATCTGTTGGTCCGACCAAGGAAGCAGTTGTGGTGGACCTCGATTCGGGAGACAACGTGTCTGATTTCGAAGCTCAGTTCCAAAGGAAGAAGATTAGACGGGCCTTAGCTAGCCCTGCTAGGTGCGTCACCTTGCAAATCGACAGTTCGGATTCTGACGAGGACGAGTCGGTGAAGATGAACGCTGCCGTGAAAGCTGCTGAGTCACAGGCGAGATCGGAGCTAAAACTTGGGAGCCCTGCTAGGCGTGCTGTAGACGATTTGAGCATGGAACGAAAACTTAGAAGCCCTCTACAACCTGCTGAGGAGTACGGCACCGATGGTTCGATTAATTTGAGGTTGACCGACGAGTCAGAGGGTCGGCAAAACTCGGACCGACGCGAGTATCCGCTGTTCCGACGAAAGAAGATTAGGAAACCTAGCGAAGACATCGATCTTATCACTCTAGGTGGCAGCACCACTACTGAAGAGCAGTCCGTGGCAACGGCAGTGCCGGCTGTCACGTCCGACGACGCGGGCGCAGAAGCCGCCCCGAGAACGCCTCGTCGAGAGAAAACGAGCGAGAGCAAACCGTTCGATGGCTCCACCACGCCGCTCTCCTCTTGCAACGAGAGCCGCAGCGTGAGGTCTCCATGCCGAGCGCTGTCGGAGGTCTTACCCAGAGAGAGCGCGCGGAAGCGTAGAGAGGCGAGCGCTTCCGAGTGCAGCGTCGTTGACGACGTCGACGCGCCCGCGACGCGGCGTCGCACCCGCTCGCTCGCTCGCGACACCGCGAGTCCGAGTCTCTCGCGGGAAGCCGCCGCCAAGCGCACGCGCAAAACCCCGCAGCGGGTGTCCGAGTCGGATGCGTTGCCACGGCGACGATCCGCGGCGGCGGCGCTGACTCCCACGCGGCAACGCACGCGGTCGGAGACCCGGCAGGGGGAGGGATCGGCGGGGGCGTGCGGGAACACGGGTCGTGCGATGGCCGTCGTCCTAGAGGAAGTCGCAGACGAGACGTCGCAGCCCTCGTCCACGACGGGTGAGACGCGACCCAAGTCCGTCTCCGACGAGACGACCCTGGTCTCATCCTCCAAGGTGGAGACGGAGGTGCTAGCTGAGACAGAGGCCGAGGCACAGGCCGAGACGCACGTGGAGACGATCGTGGCCGAGGCGTCCCCGTCCCCCGCCACCGCACATGCCGACACGACCTCCTCGCCTGAGAAGCCGCTCCGGCTCCGCAAGTCGACGCGAGTCATCAAGCCGGTACTGCAGCAGGAGCAGCTGGAGAAGATGCTCACCGAGGCAGCAAGCAGCGAAGCGGTCGCCACGGCGACGCGCGAGACGGCGCGCTCGGAAGGCCGGCGGAGGCGGCGGCGGCGGCGACGAGAGCTGGTGGATGACGACATGCAGGCGTTTCTTCACACGTCGCTCGAGTCGATAGGGGGCGACACCGTCTCGAACATGGCGGACGAATGGGCGGAGACCGTCAGCGAGTTGTCAACAGCGGAGGAGGGGACGGGAGAGCGCTCCCGTGAGATGCAAGCGGAAGAGGAGGTGGCTGTGACGACCGAGCGGCGGCACGGAGACACCGACGACAATGTGGAAGAGGAGGAGCGCGATGCAACACCTGCGTCGCGGCGGCGCGTGACGAAACAGCGCGTCGGTAGAGTCACGCGCGCACGCCACCCGAATCGTGTGATTCGATCTGGCGACGACGATGACGGATCGTTGTCCGGGGCGACGGCTGCAGAACAGACGCACACCACTGCAGACAGCGATGCTGCCATCCCTTACGACCCGCCGCGCGGCGAGGCGTCGCGTGGCGATCTCGCTACGACGTCACAGTCTCCGAAAGTTGACGCGCCCTTGGACGACCCGATCGGTGAATTCGCTTCGTCGACACAGGAGCAACGATCGCTGTCCGAATCCCCGATCGACCTCGTCTTTTCCCAGCCGGATCTATTCGCGGACGACGGAGCGGAGGCGGCCGTCGCCATGGCGACCGGCGGCGGCAACGAGGACAGCGCATCGAAGGTTAGGGTGAAGGTCAAGCCAAGGTCGGCGCATCGTCGGCGTGCGTCTGTGACGGGTGACGTTGCCCGTACAACGCCGCGGCGGCGGCCGGCCGCGCGCAGCCGCAAGCGGACGCTGTCGGACGGATGGAGGCGGTTGTCGGGGGCGACGAAGGAGGCAGAGGAGAAGGAGGAGGAGGGCGGCGGCGGCAGCGAGGAGTCTCGCACGCTGACGCTCGCCGGTCTCTCGCAGATGGTGACGTTCACCGCGTCGCCAGGCACCTCCCTCACCATCACCGTGCCGCGCGTGCGCGCAGACGCACCCTCGTTCCGCGTCACGTCGCCGGCGCCCCCCCGCGGCGGCGGCGCGGTCGTCATGCCGACGTGGTCGCTGCGCAGCACCAACAAGCTGAGCCTCACGCCGGCGATGTCGCTCCGCAAGCGCACTGCCAGTGGCAGCAGCCAGGGGGCGCTAACTCCTCGCAAGCGCACTGCCAGCGGCAGCAGCCAGGTGGCGCTCACTCCTCGCAAGGCGGCGTCCGCCAGGAAGACGGCGCGGACGGCGCGTGCTGCCATGACGGCTCCGCGCGCTTGCCGGGCGTCTGCGAGCGTCGGCGGGTCGGTGAACGCCGGGGGACGCGTCAGCAAGTTCCCGCCGTCCGTCGGGAGTGTGCGCAGATGCACGCAGGGTTCCCACGACGCCGCCGCGACGCCCAGATGCAGCAATGCGGCACGGGACCCGGTGACGCCGCGGATGAGGCGCCGGACGGAGAGTGCGGACGATGCGGCGGGCTTGACGAGCAGCTCTCAGCAGAAGCAGCTGAAGCAGCTCGAGATTGACATGGTAGGTTACCATGGTGATGGCGGGAGCCCGCTCGACGTTGGCAAAGCAGCACGTAAGTTATTGTGAACGGTTGAGCAAGTGCTCGATCGTGAGGTCACGATGTAACGCTACGCGTGAATTTAATTACTGTGAAATTGTGTTTTTTATGATATGTATGCGGCAGGAGCCAGAGAGATATGCACGTGTCAGACTGTAGACTAATATAGCACAGGGCAGATGCAGTGACATGCAACCACTTGTTTGGGTGTGGTCAGGACTCAGATGTGCCCCAGCTCTGGCATGTGTGCAGCCGGCCACCTCACTAACACATGCGCTTAACAACGCTTGATCGGCATGGGTTATTCCACACCAGGAAGGTGTGTCTATCGTAGTCGAATAGCAATAGATGACAGCGAGCTCTTGAAGTCTAATGGCTGTGTTTACTGCCGACTTGTTCAGGTTGCCTGAGAAGTGAGTGCAGACATTCTCCCGGTCACAAGTGTCTGCTGCGAGCGTCTTCCGTTAGTGAGGATGCTCAGCCTCCCGCGGTGCTCTGATCGTCCTCTTGGATCGTTAGGCTCCCAGTCATCTGTAACGCGTTCGTCACGGGACACTGCTCTAGTGTGTGGTTACTACTGCAAAGATTGTCTAGTGTGTGGTAACTACTGCAAGGATTGTCTAGTGTGTGGTAACTACTGCAAGGATTGTCTAGTGTGTGGTAACTACCGCAAGGATTGTCTAGTGTGTGGTAACTACTGCAAGGATTGTCTAGTGTGTGGTAACTACTGCAAGGATTGTCTAGTGTGTGGTAACTACGCAAGGATCCTATAGTGTGTGGTACCTACTGCAAGTTCCGGTATACCGGACCGTACCCAGGGTACCCTCCGATAGTACCCTGGGGCACATAGACCCTATAAGCGTAGCTGGAAGCATAATCTATTATGTGGTAGCTTTGCCAACAATACTCTGGTAACTACCCCAAACCTAATCCAGTGTATGGTAACTATTCCAACTTCTACGGATTTCTCTAATTCAGTAAGATCCCTATATATATATTAATTTAGTGTGTGATAGTTACACTATATGGCTACACTAGTTGTGGACTTGTGGTAGATAATGGTTACTTTAGTACACTATAATTATAAACATGGGGATGTGCCGCTGGACAGGGTATATTTTTCGAACATCATTATTGGCACAGGTCATATTTTTTGAACATCATACATAGAGCATGTTATAGTATTTTAGTTCAGTGTTACCATTTAAGTGTGTTTGCTGCCGGAAGATTTCTCTGCCACCTGCCTCGAGTGTTCTAAAATTATCTATATGCGCTGAATGTTTTATAATTTCCATGTTTTTGTGATGTTGTATTTTCATGATTCAAGTGTCGTATGTAGCATTGACACTGGCTAGATAAAATCGCAGAAGAGATGATTCATTTTTGTTTATATTAATTGACAATCTATAGCAATCTATTCATCTTGATTTCTTATGAGAGTTACTGCAGTTTTTTTATTCATGCTATAAATTAGAATCGCTAAAGCACATGTTCGCTGTGACTACATTAATTTGCTATATGCCATATACCACTGATCACAAGCTCACAAACCTTTGCTGAGAATTCGCGGCGTTTGCCAATTTGTTTTTAAGTGGCTTAGCATGAGTACCAAAATCGTAAGCGGTTCTTGGTGTCAGGTGAGGGTAATCCTGCAGTTGTGATTGTAGCGAGCTGGTGACATTTGTTATACCAGGGGTGAGTAATAATCTATTATTATTCACTCCTGATTATACTATATTCCGACTGTTATAATATTTAGGTGCCCATATTGTGTTGCCAAAATACTGGTCAGTGGTTACTCTACTTGTGTAGTAGCCAGGTGGAACTAATCTTTTATAAAAGCCTAGGTAGCTTGAGCCTTCCTAGGCAAACGTCTAGATATGTACTTTTTCATCATTGATCGTGATGTATTTTCAATTTTTCATATACTTAGGAGAAAAATTGTTAAATTGAGACACGTTGGATATATATATATATA